TTCTGGCGCGATCCCCTGGATTCGCCTGGATTCGCTTTTGTAGCTATGGCGGTCCACGAATCAGATTGCCGGTTTGTGAACACCTCACTCCAGGTTTCGTCAAGCAGATCAAACCTCAACGCATGACTTGCGGTTTCCAAAAAAAATCGGCAACGCGTAGGTGGGAAGCCATAGGGAAGCCATAGGGAAACCAACATGTTGGGTGTGTCCCTATATTGATGCGGGTCTGTCTTGTCGTTGACCCCTTTTTCGGTGGCAAGAAAGGAGGAAACCAACCAAACAAAATCACAATTCTCGTGGGTCCCCTAAACAAAAAAATGCGGGTCCATATTATGGGTGTTCTTTGACAAGACCTATAAGCTCATGGACCCATACCTGCAGCCGTATACATCGGTCCGGACAAAAACACGCGCCAGTCACGTTCCGCAGACCCAGTTCAACTGGGTCGTTGGTTGATGCTTTGGTCATAGGAATGTCCTTTTGATCGGTTGGTTTGCTTAGACATAGATGGGTTCAAACGGTTTAGACTTTGGTTGGCCCATCTAGGGAACCCAGTTTGTCCAAAAGGTCAACTATGTTCCAAACAGGGAACTGGAGGAATTCTTGTGTGGTAGAACGTGGGTGAATGCTTTTGGGGTTCCCAAAAAGCGTTGCCGAAAGTTTCTGCCCGTTCTGCGCCGATCCGGATGTCGCAGGGGTTTCTGCGAGCAGTTTTTGTTTTCTTTTTTTTTCCGTTTTATGCATGGCCGCAGGTGAGCCACAATCAAAACCCGGGTAGATGAAGGTTAGTAAGGGGCAGTCCCAGCCGGAAATAGTTGCGGCCGCCTTTCTAAATCTTTACATGTTTCTGGGTTCACCATTTTGTACCAGGTTTTGATTGTGACTTAGGTCTACCTGGACTTGGTTTATGGCGAGAGGTGTGTGAAGTCCTCGCTGAATGTGCCGCTCAGATCAGATGGAAATGCATCTAGGTCCCCCAGCTAGGTTTTACCAACTTTTTTTGGGGAGAGTTCCCCTTCTAAAATAGACTAAAGAACAAAAAGGTATCCTTATTCTAATTATTCTAACCTCTCTACTGGAGGACCTAGGGATGACTCGCAAGTGATTCGCAAACCTTGCCAGGTCCCTTTTCATTGGACACGGGTGCGCAAAGCACTCTTGTGCACGCTTCCCTCTCGACACAACAATAATTCGGGTAGCGAAAAAAGGCACATGGTTCAGAAAGCAATTTCAGTGTTCCTTTGTTTCGGGGTGACTCCCCGCTTGCTTTACCATTTTGAGGGGTCCGTTACAAAAATGGACATGGAACCCATTTGTAGGGAACCAACTCAAGGCCCCCCCAACTCAGGAAAGGTTTCTGCAGGGTTCGCTTCATGTCCTCTTTGGTAAGCGGACAACGTAGCGTGAGTTTCCGAAATGGGGTGATGCTCTTTGAAGTTTTTTACATATAGTCAGGTAGCCCTTCTCACTCCCTAAGTTTAAACTTTGGGGAAGACAGTTTGAGTGGCAAATAACAGGTTCGGACTTTTTTTGGCCAGTCTGCTCCGGAAACAAAGCCTTAGCTGGATTGGATTGGAGGGACGCGAACACCTGGTCCACTAAGCCTCACCCAAAATGAGGTGCCAGCGGCCCTCGTAACCCTTAAACTGCCCGAAAACTGCGTTTTAGGCTGGACCAACATGGACGAGATTGTGAAAGTTTGTTTTTGTTGGGTGCCCTCTTGAAACTTGGGCCAAGAAAAGTATCCTTGCCCTAAACCTGGAGTCATGAATTTGACACTCTTGGTGGGGGGTGTTTTCCTTTAACCTCTCTCTGAGGGCTGACTGTAGTGGTAAAAGAATGGGGCCAGTATAAATCAGCCAAAAACGGCTCTCAGTTCACTTACTTTCAATTCATGGACCCCTTGTGGGGGGGGGCTATGGGGAGGAGGGGCGAAGCAAGGCCTTATTAAGGGCTTATCCTTGCCTTCTCCTGGGCTTCTCCAGGGATAGACCCCCCCCAACAGCCCCCCCAACTGGGGCCGTGACCAAGCCCAGTCGCCAGGGGCGGGGAGTACTGCTACTCCGCGCCGCTGCCCACCGCGATGCAGAAGTTGGCGCAGAAGAGCTGAGCGCGCGCGGGACCGTCGGAAGCTCGGAAGCTCGGAAGCCAAGGGCGATGAATTTAAAGAGGGAAGCTTTGGGGCACTTTGCCAAGGGATGTTCGGACTGAACAACTTGTTGCCAACTAATGGGTTTTTCATTAAACCACTTAGAGTTAAAGTTTCAGCAGGGGAACAGAAAGCAACCGAGGAAGCATCTCAAAAGCGGACGGACTTGAATCCCCACAATGATGCCCACAAGAATATCCCCAATCTTGATTCATGCCCATGCTGGCATGCCAAAACTTGTCAAAGTCGACGAACCGTTAAGGAGGCCTGTGTATTCTAAGCATTTTTTCATTTTTAGTGGAGACATGGGTCAGTCTTTTTTGTGGGTCACCCGCTTTTCGGCTGGCTTAAAGGGAGGCCAGCGGGAAAACCATCTATGTTTAGGGTCCCCAATTTTCAAGGCACGCCCATATAACATCATTTCGGAGATACCCGGAAAAGGGCGGGGCATTGAAAGAGCCCTTTTGAACTGCTCTTTGAGATGGTTGGTCCCTTTGGCTTTGCGCGCAAGGGTACACGGGAAAAAATGTGCTCGGATTCCGAATTATATTTAGTCTAGGGAATGGAATGACCCCTATAAACCATCTTCTAGGGTTTCCTTTTAGGGAACTCCTAGATTCATTCCCAACACCCTGGGTCATTCCCATTTCCCGCTCGTTAGCGCTCCGTACATCCAAGCCATTGCTCGAAGGACGGGTTTGTCCTTCGGTACCTCTTTGGATGTTGCAGTTGTTTTTTGCTTTTTCGGGGAAAGCGAACAGAAGACCTAAATCCGTCTTGGACCTAGCTCTAAGCTCCCGGCTCGAGCTTCGACGTCGCGTTTTCGCCCTGGATGCCCGGTACGCAAATGTGTATGTCGAACGTATACGCACGTGTGCACCCAACGCATTGCAATTGCGAGGGCCTCGCCTGGATGTTCCAGGGGATGTGGTCTTATGTGTTGCCCCGCCAAAGCTCCGCTGTCTTGCCATACGCACAGGCCGCAGAAGATAGATTGTTTTCGCGGTTCAGGGAAACACCAGAATAATAGGTACATGCGTATGTGTACATTATGCAATTATACGTGTATATACATATATATATATACATATACACATGCACATGTGCATGTATATACTGTATGAACATATGGGTGGTACAGTAGTTCTTCCCCCCCGTAGACCTGCTCCCCGGGCGCAGTTTTGATACTTTGTCCATTTGAAGTCTTTCACTAAGAGGCAAAACCAAGCCAATGGCCAAGTTGGGGCTGTCTTTTTTGAGGGTAGCCCTTTCCGGTTGGCTTTTGGGGGCACAAGGAAAACCGCCAATTTTTAGGCTTCACTATTTTGACACAGTAGAGCAGCTGCTGCATTTGGCATCCAGGGCCCATTTTCGCGGGGTGCATGCCCTCAGTTTTGATGGTGAGGTGTGAATGACACCAATTGCTTGCTTCCTGAACAGCAATCTTTAATGTCACTGGCTGCTACCAGTGCGCCAGGCTGAAATGTGATAATTTGCTGGCCTGCTTGCTTGGTTGCTTGCTGTGATTTGCTACGGCGGGCCTTTACTTGGGGATCCCTTATATTTGGATTCATTGGATCAACCCCCATGTACAGGGAAATGTAATCACTGGCCTGCCAGCTCCCACCGATGCAAGTGAGCTGAGACCCGGAGATTCGAGCAAAGAAGATCTGCGAGCGAGCACGTGGGCCGGTGGAATGAGGGGAGACTTGTTGCCCGCTAGGGCCAAAACAGTACGCATCATGTTTTTTAAGCGAATCTGTGAGCATCATAGGCGTCCTGCTCAGGCTAGTTTGGATAGAAATGGATGGCACTGGTTTAGATCTGGTTTAGATTGGTTGTATTCTATTTACCAGGGCCATCTATTTACCGACCCATATTGCTGTAACAATGGAAGGTATCAAGAAACGTCGCGATTCGCTGGAACACCTGCGCTTGTTCAATCGCAGTGGTTTGGGGGATAGTAGACGCCCTTTTCATATTGCAACCTCTACCAAGGATAATCTAGCCTCGATGTACTCATCAATTATGCCTGCTTTTGATTTTGTTGTTGCTAAATTGAACTTCCTCAACGGGTGGGTTTTCCTGTTCCCAAAGCAACTTCTAAATGGATAGCCTCAGAAAACGGTGCACGCACGCGGAAGTCCGAATGTTATTTTGTTGCAGTCGCAGTCTTGCCAGGTCAGCCGGTGATTTGGGGTTGCTGTCAGAAGCACCGACATGCAACTGATCACTGATGCCATTGCTGCACTCTTTTCAGCCTTTCCAAGAACAACCCACAAGCGCATCCCAAACTTGGTTATTGATGTGACCGAATCGGCAACCCACCTGTTGCTCGATTTGTTTTGGGGCGGAAGCGGTGGGAGGTGAGAAGGCACACTTTGGGGGAATCCACAATGGGTTGATCAAGAAGCTCCAAAATACAGGGGCTCACCACTCAGGGAAACACCAAAATGGATTGACACTCACATGAGGAAAATTCACCCATTGCCACTTTGGGGCAAAAACGGACGATTGACTGTCACTTTTTGGGTTTGGGCAATTCTTGTTGTGAGTTGATCAACCCAGTGGGGCATCCAAAGCCAACAGATGTCTTTTCATTTTGGGACTGTTTTAAGGCTGAGTTTCACACATTGCCATATGACGCCCACCGGGTTTTTACAAAAAGCTACCATTTCTTTGGTCCCTCTCCCCCCCCCCCCCATTTTCCCACAGGTTCGCCCATTTGGAAGCAACATTTTCCTTCCTCCCCCCAATTTCCCCGTTTTCCCCCATTTTGAGAAACAACACCACGTGCATCCCAAACCCGCGCCGGATTTTGTTCCGCGTCTAGCGCTTTTCACGTCGCCAGGCTGCAGGTCAGCGCATACCCGGCCTTCTTCCTGGTGGCGGGCGGCCAGCAGGACGGGTTCTTTTCCATCGATGAGATGGGATGGTTTTTGACCCCCAAAACCAACATGGGGTGGCTCTTTTTTTAATAGTTTTTTATGGCCCCCCAAAAGGGTGGGTTCCCTATATGTCCATGAGCTCGTCCTTCTTTAAAAATAATAATAAAATAAAATAAGACCTTCCCCCAAAGGGTGGGTCCCCTATACGTCCATGTTGAACACTTCATCAAGGGAAGCTCACATCGAGTAGCCCCGCAAGGTGATGCTTTGAACTAACCACCAAGAGAAATAAAACATATGGGTGTATTGTTGTGAGGTGGTTTGGTCGTTTTAAAGGGATACCAAAAGGACACCCGAAGTCATTTTGCGCCGGTCTTTGTTAAGGCTGGACCCACTTAACTGGCTTCGGTGTTCCTTTTGGCCTCCCTTTAAAACCAACCAAAATGGGGCTCAAAAGACATTCCTACATTAATTCAAGGGGTGTTTTGTGCAGGTCCTAAGTCTTGTTTTTGGGAGGGTATCGATTTTACCACAGAACAACGATCAATCCAGCCACGTGATGTTTCCGCGCATAAGGCAAGACAAAGAAGTGTTTGTCTTCGCACAAATAGAGAGGACTTGCCTAGTGAAACACGAGCCCCTCTCTCTGCAGATTGCGCTTTGATCTACCTGGAGTCTCCTGACCCCAAAAACACAAATTGGGAGAAGGATTGTAATGCCTCCTCCCAAGAAAGAAAGAGCACATGGAGCAACCCAACCACTGCTATGACCCTTTATCCCCCCCAAAAAACAGCAGACACACGGCAAAGACTAAACCATACCATTTTTGGACATGCGGTTGGTGTGTGTGTGTGTGTGTGTGTGTGTGTGTGTGTGTGTGTGGGGTCGGACAAGTTCTATGATTTGGGGTCAGTTCTGAGTGGAAGAAAGGGAGAGGACCGGAGAGTTCCAATGAATTGCATCCCTCTCTTCTTCATTGGATCTCTTCATTTGGATCGCTCACTTCCCACTCTCGCTTGCATCTCTGTCCACAGAAGACGGGATACAGAGTCACCTCGCTGCCATTCTCTTGACTGCTGTTGGGTTGGATCTTTAGACTTTAACTTTTGGGGAAATAAAGGTGTTTTCCACTAACCCGAAAAGTTAAACTTTTGCAGGGGGGTCAACAGCAATCAAGTTCTGTCTCCGCTATCAAATCAATCTCAATATCGTAACTATGTCATTTCTCTGGAAGTAGAGCCAGGTCAACCAACACGTTCCGCTGGACTCTGGCCCTTATTCACCGCAAGTTGAAATAAAAATACTTATGGTTACAATGCTAATATTAGTAAGAAAGGTAACGATGGCAAGAACAGTAGGAATGGTAGTAACAGCCCTACTAGCAACAGGAATAGTACGGTACCCGTTGTCAACATGTAGATCCTAGCTTGGGGGCCAAGACGAAGCGTAGACCAATCCAGTCGACCTGAGACCGAAGGCTTCATCCCAGGCCTCGGGGCAGATTTCCATGGGGATCAAAGAATTCTAGGGCTAGCTTCCCCATTCCTTCCAGGTAGAAACTCATTAAAAACCCTTGGGAAACGGATGGTTTTTGAAAAGAACGATGGTTGAAAAGAATGGGGAATCACCCCCTAGAACCATTGTTGGCTTGAATTTACTGAGCTGAGTTGACTGGCCCGACAAAGTAGAAACTTTCGAGGCTTGCCAACTCAAAAGAGGTAAGTTTAAGTGGATGGGTCTGTCCAAACGAAACAGACGAGGTGCCCAAATGGAAGCCAGGAAAGAAGTCGGCTGGTCTGGAGCCCAAAAGCTTCCTATCTTTGGTGCAATTTGCCAAGGGATGCTAGGACTGAACCACTTTTTGCCAACTAATGGGTTTTCCGTATTAAACCACTAAAAGTTGTTCACTTTTAGCAGGGGAGCAGAAAGCAACCGAGTTTCTATCTCATCAAGAATCCAGAAAGGAAAGATAGCGAGGCAAAGGGAGGGTGAACAGTGGCTATACGAGGCTCACCAACCCTTCACTCACCCTATCAATCAAGATAGTGTGGACGGGATAGCCTTTTTCACCTATTCCTTTCCTTCTCGCTCCGTTCCTTCGCGGGTTAAGAGAAGGGAAGAGGGAGAGTCACGAAAGGTTGCACGGTCCAGCCAAAAAAACTCGGCGCCTACGAGGGGAACCGAAACTCGACACTATCTGCCTAGATCTTGTTGGGTCTTGCGGCGGTCTTGCGGCTTTTTTGGCATATGGTTTGCCAAGGATGCCTGCCATCAAATATCAGGCAAGCCTTAGTTGGTGATTCGGATTGGGGATTTTCAGCCTTGGCTCCACCCCTCGAAGCCACCATGGGAAGCTGGACATATGCTGCACACTCACTTTTTGGGTTGGCGGGGCTAACCTCTTCGCCACCATGGAGTCCGTCCCGGAGACCAAGCCTCGTTGGCGGGTTGGGCGGTTTTTTCAGGCATAATGAAGACAGAAATGCCACATGCCACAAGCTCAGCTATTTATCAAGGGATCAACACATTCCCTAAATCAGCTTACCCGCAACAGGTGGTTTGGAGTGGTTTCTGGGGGATTTGAACCCCTGGCTCTTGTGGATGGTAAATCTGAAACCGCCCCCCAACAAAGCTGGCGGTTGGCTTCAAAGGGAAGGAACTGGGAAATGCATGCGGCTTCAGCAGGAGCCTATCCCTGCATCCTCAGCGGAGGAGGCTCACAGCCGTTGGATCTTTCTGGCATGTGTTGGGCGCTACCCTCTTGCCAACCAGAACATTTGGCGGTGGTTGTCAAAACCGTTTTGGATCCCATTTTGGTTGGTAGGTGAATTCACCACCCATTTTAGAACCTATTTTAGTGGGGATTGGGATGTTCACTGGGGGTACGGGCTTTTGACCCATGCCCAATTCTACTGAGCTCTGGGGATAACTTGCTGGTTCTCAGCGAATGAGAAACGGAATGACCCCACGAAAAACCATCCCCGATTTGGTTTCCGAGGGAATTCCCTTCCGGTTATTCCCACGGATGCGGTGATTCCCCAACTATCGCACCAGCAAGACAAAACAAAGGTTTCGCGAAGGTGTGTATTGGGATGCCTTGTTTTATCTCACGGATCTGGTCACCACGAATGAGGCGGCAAATCTAGTGGTCTTTTTTGATGCCCAAACTACATTTCGGCAGAAGACCGAAGCCACGTCAAGATCTGCCTGGAGTCTCCATTCGGAATTTGCCAATTTTAGGCAACCATTGTGTTTGAAGGGCCTTGGAGAACGCAGGTGTGTATCCTTTGTGGGGGCTGTTGCAAAAGGACATTTCTGGAGAAAAACCACCCATTTCAAGGTACAAGCAGTTTGGGGTGGCCACAATTGTTCAACAAGTTGGGCCTTTTTGCAGCCCCAATAAAGAATCAAACGCCGCTGTAGACGGACCTGCAAGGGGAAGTGCCCTTTGCTTGGCTGGGTCAGTTACAATCCCTTGTTGAAAATAAACATATTGGTGGCTTCAAAGGAAGCGCAAGGGAACACCATTTCTTTTATTCTTTTATTTTTTTGGGGGGGGAGGGCGGGGCGGCCCAAGAAAAGACACACCCATATTTCCGCTTTGTTGAATCGGATTTTGCTCCTGTCCAAAAGAAATGGTCGCCATTTGTTTGTTTGATTTCCCTGAAGGTGAATGGGGACGGTCAAGGAATGACGGGAAAAGGAACATCATGTTGGGGGGGGGTCCCCAAAAACGGAGACTTTTTAACTGCTGATACCATGGCAACCACCTTCTGGTACAAGAACAGCCTTTGGGACGGTCTGCCAGTACCACAGTGTCTGCAATGTCCGCAAGGCCTGAGAAGTATGGGTGTCTCAAAATAGAGGCCCAACAAAACTGTCGGGGTCCTTTTGTTTTCCCTTGGAGGGTACCGAGACGCAAACCAAGACACACCCAAATCACCCATTGTCCTCTCAAAGCATCCATGAAAGAATGAAGCCCAGCGGCCGGAGTGGTTTGGGTTCAGATGGGTCCTCCCTATTTCTCGGTGCAACCTATCCAACAATCTTTTAACTACCCATACGGAAACCATAGGGCACGCGAATTGCACAAAAGCAGACCTGGCACACTGCGACAATTCATCCCCAGATAATCCATGTATGTAGGTTATATATATATATACACATCTACTCTCAAAATGGGTCAACTGGTATATTTCCTACATAGATTATCTGAGCCGCTCTGCAGATCGCAGCCTTTGTGGCTGCGCGTGTGCACGGAAGAGATCCGGCCACGGGGCCCGGAGTTTTCGAGAAGCCGAATCGACTTCTTGGATGCCATTGTGTTTTGGTCCAATGCGTGTCTTATTTTGCCCATAAAAGGTGGTGTTCCTCTTGTGTTCCCTGTACTAGGCAGCAAAAAAGGCACCCTCAAAAAAGGACTGGTCAATAGTTGAGTCTTCAATGTGCACTTAGGGATGTTTTAGGGAAACGACAGGAAGACCTCAAATCACTCTGAAATTCTTGATATTTGCAAGGCAAGGTGCCAAGGCACCCTCTAGGGCACAGAGAACCCTCCAAGAAGAACCCGAGTTTTTGACCACTCAACTCAAAAGAGGATTTCAGGGCGGCGGCGAGTTTCTTGTTTTGCGATTCTTCCATTGGTGGCTTGCAATCCTTCGAACGCCGTGAACCATTTGCATGCTTGAAATGCAATCCTTCTGTTGTTTGCAATCCCTTCCTTTGATCTCTTGTGAACAGTTGTTATTCTCAACTTTGTGGCTTTCAACCACGTTGTTGGTTTGTTGGGTCGTTAGCCCTTCCCAGACAATCCATGTAGGAGATACACATCCGGACCGAGACTAGACCGAGTCAGGAAACAAATGACCGTGTCTTGAGGGAAATGTGAGTTTATAGTACCTGCTAAATGGATTGTCTAGGGTTTGTCAAAGCCAAGGCCCCCCGAAGGTTATCCTTTTATTTCTGGGACACTCGGCAAGTAAGTTTCGCTGTTGCTCTAATCTTTGTCTTGCAGAGCTCGCTTCAGAAGGCCCGTGACCAGAAACCTAGCGCTTACAGGAAGCGTTGTCAGTCTGAACAAGAGGGGGCACTTGAACAGATGTTGTTAGAATCAGTTCCAGAAGTCCTCGAGTGGACACTCTATGAAATGTCTGCAGCCGTCCCAAAGTTCGAAGACATCAAGAACCGTTTGCTACTGGCGACCGACATCATGTAGTACATGATCTGCGAGCATGTGACGGACCCACCAGTTCCCGCCACGTCCAGCGAATGGGTTTGCCAGGGAGTCCGGCACGCGCTAGACTCTGGTGTTTGGACTACACAGACTTCAATACACAACACAGCAACCCGACGATGATGATGCTTCTGAGGCAGCTTGCTATGTCCTGGTGGCGTGGACGACTGCTTCTTGTGGAAACCTCACCTCTTGGATTTCCTACTCAAATTCTGCTTCGTTTGTTGTAGAAGACAGGCCATCCTTGGAATCTTTTTTGGAACCTGCACAAGGTGATATTGAGTGCCGCCAAGAAAGAGGCTTCACAGGGGCCTGACAAGAGAGACAGTATATAGGCGGTCCCCGCAGAAGCGTTCTCAGAATTATTCTAAGAACCTCTTGAGTTGTTGTCAGGGTGTGCAAAGGGCCCATGCAAGTGGAGACTTACATCCCACGGAAGACACACATGAACACAAGAAACCTGACGATCCCTCTGAAAGTGGCTCAAACCGAGCCTTTAAAGGTTGTGGGGGAGATACGGGGGAGCGGTCATGAGTCTTGGCTGTACGATCACATGAACTTATGATGTGTCTTATACATGTTTCTTCTGGAAAAAGGCTGGCATGTCATCATGCATACTGTTGGGGACAAGGCTTGCGTTTGCCCACCCTCAAGTACAGTGGCCTTTTTGTGACTTTTGAGCTTTGTTTTCGGTCGCAATTTACGTCTCTTCTTTTCTTTTTTCCTTTTTTTCCTTCTTTTTGTTTTTGTGTGTGTGTGTGTGTTGGGGGTGGGGGAATGTTCACCGCCTGAGACCGTTCAATTTCCCCAGATTTCAAGATAGGGGGCCCATTTTGGGGATGTTTTGTTGTTTCCCTGGCAGCTGAAAGCTATGGGTCTTCGGTTGGATAGGTTCCGGGTTGCGGAAAGTGCCAAATTCCATGGGGTTCCAGTTCCGAAGTCTTCGATCTGGGGTTTCATGAGGTGTTTGCTGGATAAGGTCTGAGGTTTCGGAGTCTGGAGGGGCAGTTGCTTTCATGGGGTTGGGGCGGTTTCCGACAGGTTTCGGAATGGGTTCCGAAGAGTTGCGAGTTCAGAGAAGCTCAGAGCCGCTGTGGGCCAGGGTTCCCGAGCTGTTCCTGTTGCTGTTGCGGTCACGCAAACGCTTTTGCCTACCTGGAAGGGTCCCGAATTATTGAGAAACATCCTGCATTTCCATTAGGAATGGGTTTCCCTTTGAAAGGCCACAAGGAAGCCTAAGGCATTTGCCATCTATCGAGCGAGGCACAGCTCCGAACCAAGTTGTATGTCGGCCGGGGACTCGGAAGGCATCCCAGACAGCCAGTGACTTCAATTGTCCAAAGCCGACCATTTGACCTTTGGGTTTCCCCCAAATATTGGTATATCTTCAGTCATGGCCCCAAAGGCTAACCTTGTATTTGCTGGGTGTGATGGAGCAGCTGAGTTTTTTTTTTCCCCAGCACTATTGGGTCTCTGCCCAGATATGCTCCGGAGTGGTTGGGAGCGTCTTGGGGCTATAGGGTTCCAAGGTTCTGCCGGACTCTTTTTTTGTTTGGGGGGGTCCTTTTATGATCAACACCCCAAAAAGCGCGCCCTAGTTACCTAGTTTTCTTCGACTTTTTTGGATAGGCGCCCTTGCAAGTTCAACTCCAACAAAAAGGCGTGTTTTGGTTTGTTTTCTTCCGTGGCCACGGGTCTTCTTGATTCAGCACCAGGCTTGGTGGTTCCCAGCCATCTGGTGCCTCAGGTTTTGAGCTTTTCTTGGGCGTTCCTTGAGTTATTTTTGTTGTATTTTTTTCTCTTGTTTTGTTTTATTTTTCGTTAGACTTTTCGCAGGGGATCGAAGGGGAACAGCCCAGTCAGCTCACCTTGCCAAACCAAAGGCTTAATCTTAAAGAAAGAAACAACTTTCGAACACCTTAATGTTAACCCCGGATTAATAAACCCCTGGTTGATTAATAGGGGGGTGTCCCCTTTTAGTGGGGATTCATCACTTTTGGAGGGAACACCCCCCTAACAATGGGACGGGTTTATCAATCCTGGGTCAACATTATTGTTGTTCCTTTGTCTTTTTGAATCAGAGGGCTCCAAGTCTTTCCCAACAGGTTCATGTTTTTGGGGGTCCCGCATCTCAGGGTCACTTGTCTCAGAGCGAACTTGTGTGGTACTGGAACTGCTTGAGCTGTGCTTGATTTGAGGAATATATAAAAGGGTCCAACCATATATATATATATATGTATGTATTGTAAGTCTCAGAGCATATATACATTTCGCATTGCGCGGGCAAAGCGTGAACAAGTGACGCCAATGGCCGGAGTTGGAAAAGCGTCAACTATGTTCGGAGCGCGCCCTGGGATGCTGGCTGAATTGGGACGGCCGCTGCTTCGCAGCCGTCGGCTGCCTTTCCGGAGCGGTCCAAGGCCACAGGCCGTTGGGTGCTGCACATGTTGCAGCTCGAGTCCGTCTGGTCCACTGAAGCAGAAAACGCAATCTTAAGTCCTGCCACATGGTGGCGCTCCTTAATCCATTTCGCACTTTGAAAACATGGCTGCTTGGTATTCACAGCGGGCTCGAATCATTCCCTGGGTTTCCCAGCGGTGCGAAATGGCCGTGGGGCATAACCTATGCCGATCCCATTTTGGGGTGGATGAACATCCATTTGCCACCTAGGTTGATGTTCACCAGGGGTACCGGGTTTTGACCCACAGCCAAATGAACTTCGCTTCCATGTCAGGCGCCTTGGGTGTCTTGGAGCTCGAACCGCACGAGCTTGAGCCAGTGGTGCCGCGGAAGAAATCTGTCTGGCGCGTCTTTTTAGAGTTGGAACCCCGTTTTCTCTTGGTGGCTCCCAGCCGTCCGGCTCCTTGCCTTTTAGCTTTTTAGTGTTTTGTAGTAGTTTCCATTTAACCCACTAAAAGAAAAACTTTTAGCGGGGGGTCCGAGGGCAGCCCAGTTTTGTGGTTCTTAAGAGGCTAGGTCCCCCAGCAATTGGTGCCCTCTCTTTTACCCCTTTTTCGGTTGGGAGGGTTCCCCTACTAATATAGACTACAGCAAAAAAGGATACCCTTATTCTATGCTCTCCACTGGAGGACCTAGGAGGGCACCAAGAGGAAAACCACCTTGGGGGTCCACTAAAAACACTGGTGCCGGCAGTGCCGGATGTTTTTTTTCCCCCATGGGCACTGAGGCGGCGTTCCTTTCACCTACAAACGAACAAAACGGGATGATTGATGGGTTCCCCTATGGTTGGGGGACATGGGGTTTTGAGTTGCCACTTTCTGTGATACTAAAGGGACCAAGCATCGAAAGTGACAAAGGTACTTGCAGGGGAGGCCCTTTGCTTTCTCGGAAAAGTACCCTCACTCCCACTAACATGGCACCTGACAGAGGGTCCCTTGAAAAGGAAATTGATCTTCTAGGTATCCTCCCTGCAGATGCTATGTTTGTGGGAGGAAGGGTATACGTGGTGCCATCTGGCTTTTTGGGCCAAATTTCAGCTTCAGCTTCAGTACGAATCAGACGCGGTCCCTCAGGCCTCTAAGGGCATGAACTTGACCTCCTGCGGGCCGCGTTTGGGCGCCGTGCTCTGAAGCCACAAGGTTCGTTAGAGCTAGTCCCGCCATTTTTGTTGGGTGTGGCCGCCTTTCTGGTTCTAATACATGATTTTGGGGCCACCATGGCCACCATTCTAATACAGGGTGTTGCATTATGACTCAATCTGGGGTTCTGACCATTTTCCTCTCGGGCGGCCAACAAAAAGAAGACACCGAGTTCAGGGGTGGTTTCTTATAAACCCTGAGGATCCCTTGGCACTTTCTCGGTGCCAAATTGTCGTTTTGCTGGCTACTTTAAGCATCATTCTCTTACTTGTCGTGTTTTTTTTGACCTACCAGGCAACTTGACGGGTGAGTTGCCTGTTGGGCCTTGAACACTGGAATATGGGGGAGCCCTGACTCCGCAATCGCACGGTTCATTTTTTCCCCGTGTCTCTTCAGCAGAGGTGCTGAAGGACTACGAAGGGAACAACCGGGTGTGGATCGTGAAGTGCCCTTCACTTCCATTTGCTTAAGATGTTGTGTTCTTTTAGTTCCCCCTGTTGGTTTTAAAGGGAATCCATCACTACTGGAAATATGTTGATTTAGTCCTGGAGACTTAAGCAAATGGAAGTTCGGGTTTCCAATGCGCGACCGGATTTTTTTCAAGTTATGTTGACCACAGATGAATAAATCCCGTTAAATTTTGATTGGTGGGGTGCACTTCTAGTGGGAGTCCAGACCACTTCTGGAAAAACAGAAAGACGCACACTCCTATGTTCACGGACGGGTTCGTTAATGCGGGGTCAGCCTTAAGTTGGGGCTGTTGGAGCCTTGATCTCCTTTTTCAAAGTGGGCCCCACTTGCAAGTCAGCTTCTCGGGCACGGACGAGACAATAAGCAGGGGTTATGTAGACTATTTGACCAGCAAACCATGACCAGCTGACCATACGTCATGTGTGACGCTGCCAGGTACTACGCGGAGAATTGCTCTGCTTGTAGGAGAGGGTGAGTCACTGGCCAACGGTCTCCAAACCGAAAGAAGTTTACAACAAATAATATGCTTTTCAGTGTACCCTTTTTTTGTGGTTGCGCCAAGTAAAGCTTACAGGAGCCTCCCTTTGAGCCTTCCTGGGTTTTATCCATGATTGGCGCCAGGCGTTGATGCTCAGGTCGCCAGCCGGTGGTTTCGGTTGGATTGGAGTTGAACCCATGGTTCTGGTCCAACCCCTTAGCCACCAAAAGCCACCAAATCGCCAAGCCACCATTGAGATTTCCCCACCTCCAAACAACAACTCAAAATCATCAAGTCAAAATATGTATGTATATATATATATGTACATACATACATATGACCCAATACGTGTCGGAAGGCAAGTGTAGCTCCTGAAAGGAACTGGTTTGTACCATTGCTTCATCCAGAGCTTGGCCTTTCCTTATGTGCAGAGCTTGGTAAAGCGATATGTTGAAAAGGCTCAGGCCAAGCCTGCCTTTTTCTTACAATATTACTTTACCTCCAAGGTTGGATCTTTTGTTTGCAGGGTCTCGACACTTTTCCCGGTTTCTGGCTCTAGTTTTTATGTTACTAGTTCGGAGAACCTGGGTTCAATCTGAATGGCGGCTGGCCAAAAGCCAACTTGGCACAATGTCAGGCTTGCCCATGGCTTTTTCGGCCTCCTTGCATAGCTCCTTAGGTCCTTGCATTGCTCCAAGGGTCCAAGGGTCCAAACCCGATCAAAGTTTTCCCCGGACGACCGGGAGACATGGAACCTCTTGGCTTGACATGAGCCACGTGCTCAAAACCCAGGTAGATGAAGGATAGTAAGGGACAATCCCAACCATTCACAGCTGCGGATATCCGCCTTCTTAGTTCTTCAGATGGTTCTGGGTAGACCAGCTTAATACTGGGTTCTGATTATGACTCACATAGAACCCACTAAAGGTGCCCCCCTCTAAACGCCATGGTTGAAGGAAGCCAAAAGGCTTGTAACCACTGTAAGGCTTCCCCAATTGAACAAATCCCAGCTTTTTGCTTTGCATGTCTGAAGCAGGAGCAAGAGAAGATGACATAGAGAATCTACTGAATCGGGATATTCATCGGGTGCACTGGTTGATTGTTCATTTCTAAGCCCAACCGGTAAGCCCCGACTGTGGATGGGCAAAACTTGGCACGGGTGGGCACGTGAAGTTCCACACCTTTTGTTCTTCACCAACTTTGGGGACATTTATTCGAACTTTTAGGAGATCTGGGAACAGCCCAGGTATGTTTTCTTGCTGGTGCTCTTTTTCGGGAATGCCCTTTGGGATGTTGGGCATGAACCTCGGACTTCCCTTAAAGGAAACCACCCATTGGATGGTGCTCATAGGGGTCATTCCGCTTCTCATTCCCTGAGCACCAGCAAGTTTTGATCCACACAACTTTCTAGGGGTTGATTCCCCATTCTTTTCAGCCATCGTTCCTTTCAAAAGCCAGCCATTTCCCCAGGGTTTTTGGTGGCTTTCTAGAAAGATCCGGATCCCTGCAAGGAATGGGGATGGTATTCTAGATTTTTCGGGGAAGTTTGAAGATCGCATCTTGGGCCAGTTTTGCTTGAGGTTTGCTCTGGTGGTGTTTAAAAGGCGGAACCCTGGGAAATCCACAGCAAGACCTGAGGAAGCTACCCCTAGAAACTTGGATTCGTTTGGATGTTACCCTCAGGAGCCTGAAGCCGGAGCTCCTACGTGCAGCGGAAGAAGCAGAGGCTGGCAGATGTCTTTTTCAAAGTTCTCCAAAATGATTTTACTCAGGCAAGCAAAAAGCAGGGATGCGGGGGGAGGCAGGGCTGTGGGCATGGTTGTCGGGTAATTGTTATTTCTACATGGTTTCCTTTACAGGGAATGTGTGTGTTGTGTGTTTGTTACGTGTTTGTGTGTGTGTGTGTGTGTGTGTGTGTGTGTGTGTGTGTTTGTGTGCGTGTGGGTGTGTGTGTGTGTGTGTGTGTTTGTGTGCGTGTGGGTGTGTGTGTGTGTGTCTGTGTTTGTGTGCGTGTGGGTGTGTGTGTGTGTGTGTTTGTGTGCGTGTGGGTGTGTGTGTGTGTGGGTGTGCGTGTGTGTGGGTGTGTGTGTGTGCGTGTGGGTGTGTGTGGGTGTGTGCGTGTGAGTGCGTGCGTGCGTACGAGCGCGCGCGCGCGGGCGGGCGGGGCGGGCGGGCGGGCGGGCGGGCGGGAAGGCGGGCGGGCGTGCGTGCGTGCGCGCGCGGGTGTGCGCGTGTGTGTGTGTACGTGTGTGTGTGTGTGTGCGTGTGTGTGTGTGCGTGTGTGTGTGTGTGGGTGCATGTGTGTGTGTGTGTGTTTGTGTGTGTGGTTGCGCGTTTGTTGCGTGATTGTGTATTTGTTGTGTGTGTTTGTGTGCGTGTGGGTGTGTGTGTGTATGTGTTTGTGTGCGTGTGGGTGTGTGTGTGTGGGTGTGCGTGTGTGTGGGTGTGTGTGTGTGTG